CTTTCCTTTCCTCTTGACTAAAGTTGTCATGACTTAAGAAAATTATCCTAAGCCAATTAACCTAATTAGCTAACTTCCCTAGGTCTTAGATTAAAGTCCCTATTTCAATTAACCAATTGATGAAGAAATTAGTCAAGTGATTTACTTAAAATCTCCTCTCAACAGCCACGGTCAAAACAACAATGTGACTAACCACAAGATTATGTCAAGCTACTCAACAACACAAGCAATAACACCATAAGATTATGCAATATTAACACAAGTAATTCACTAATTGAAAAACACAAGATTATGTGCCAAACAAACAATGGCAAAATTCAGTCATGGCTGTCTAAGGAAGAAATTAAATGAAACAATCCTCTCTCTTTACATCAACATCAAATTCAAATTAGAATTTACAAGCTAAGATGATTAAACCCTAGATTAAGGAATTTAACCATCTAGTAAAAAGAGAAGAGGATAGGAAACAAAAAAACTTAGCTAATTTGAAGCTCAAGACTCATCCAACACTCATCTCATTCATCTTCCACATTTTCTCTCTCTTGTTCATTCTGTTCTTCATTTTCTCTCTTTTGGTCTTCATTTTCTAGCACCCTAACCTCCATTTTCAGTCACTAAACCTCCACAAAACTCATACCATTCTTCTCCTCTCTTCATTTTCGTTCCATCCCTTCCATTTTCACAAGGATTGAAGCTCATTTCCATCATTCAAGAGCAATAGAGTTTGGCCTTGCCCTTTTTCACACAACAGGGCCTACATTTCACAACTTCATATGTAGGTACAAACCTGGCCAATTCTCCACATATTCATCATTGTCTTACACATAATTACACATATAGACTAAGATAGACATATTCACCACACAACTATATTATCACATGCTAATGCATACTATAGCAATTTATAACATTAAACATTTATAGTAAAAGTTCATTACACAAAAATTTGATGATACGACTATAATTGCTATTATGCTTGTCCCAAATCTTTCTTTTTTCCTTACTCATAATCAAGGCTTGTAAAAATGTAACTACAGGATGAGATAAGCATCTCAATAACAGAATGACTCATGACTATCAATTAATATGCTTAAATATAAACAAGTAAAGCTGATATACATAAATACATTTATACACACCCGAATAAGCTCATATTCATTTTTGTAAAACCATTTTTACATTAAATCATTTCTACTAGCATGACTATCTACTATTCGATCCTCCATATCACCTCGAATAAAACTATAGGCTCCACTAGGTTAATCATACACTCATTGACTCGTGCACATTTTAATGGTACAACCATCCAGCCAAAGGTGTTCCAACCTGCTCTCAAACTATGTCCCCCTATCACACACGATTGGGGCATTGTTACTCTAACACTGCATCATACCAATGCTCAAGAGCACAAATTTCTAACACTATACCCATATAGGTGCTTAGGAGAAAATCTCCAACATCGTACCTTATTAGGCATTGAAGAGACAAATTCTCCAACACTGCTCCTTGTCGAGTACTTAGAAGAATATATGTCATATGATCTTTCACTACTTCTCTCTATAGGTGAACTCATATCTCTTAACCTAATCTTGCTCATAATTCTCACATATAAACCACATGTTTGTATCCAACCTATATATACACATATATACATATATGTTTATAAATTCATTTCTTTAAAATCATTTTCATACATAATACACTCATTCCATAATCGTGCCACAACTTCAAACACATATATGTAATAATAACAATACTTATAAACAGTTAATCTAATTAATCAAATACAGTGAATTATTTAGTTACCTTAACCCTTTTATCAATAAAAAGGTTACCTATGGTATTCTTTAATTGCTTATTGTCACCACAACTTTTTGTACCTCAAAGCACTCTCGTAGTATGACAATCTACACAAGCTAGCACTATTAGTCAATTATCAAATTGATCACAAGTATTAATCATCACCAATAATCATAATTAATCATTCATTATCGTGCAAACAACTATCCTAGGTCTCAACCATCCCTTTTAATGTCTTTTAACACTTTTATAAGCTCCCACGCATTTTATACCAATTTTCACCCATTTCTACTCATTAATTTAGGGCTAATTTAAGCCTATTGCTTAAAAGCTTAGTTATTAACTCCTTGACAAGTCGCAAAACCTTAGTTCAATTCTCAAGAATCTTTTTATTATCAAAGGGTAAGAAATAGATTCCTTAAAGCTTCCTAATTCAATTTCTCCATAACCTAAATTAAGAGATTAGGGTAGAATTAAAGCTTAAGGTGGTACAAAACTTATTCGATAAGCAAATGCTTGAAAGTATCTCCCATGGCTCCAAAACTTGATGCCCTAGTAGAGAGAGCTCTTCTCCTCCTCTCCTCATGCTCTTTTCTTTCTTCTCCCTCTCTAACCTACCAGTTTACCTTGCACATATTAATAAATTTTTTGTGTCATACGTCATGGCACATGTTACGTGTGGCATGTTATGTGGCATAGTAAATAATATCTTACCGTACTCACATGCTATACTCTACAACACCACTCTTCCACTTAATTCTATTCATCTAACATTCCAACAAGTTAAAACACCAATCTACCATCCCAAAATCTTAATCACTTACTAATTTACTAATTGGCAATTAGTTCTAGAATTAAAAATTTAGGATGTTACAATATTTGTATTATTTTTTACTAGAAAGATAACAACACTATTAGGTCAATAATTTGGAGGCTACGTGTAACATCTGGATTTCTTAATCCCATGATTATCTGTTAATCAAGGGTAAAGTCATAATTAGTATGGGATTAGAGATTGAGATGATTATGTGATGATTTGACTCAATGGGATATTAAATGAACAGGTACGGGTGGAAAGATCACATTTTAGGTCAAAGTATGTATGGTGAGAATTATTCTCACTGTGCCACGTGCCACGACTAGTGCTAAATGCACCATGGCACATGGACCAAAAAGTAACTTTTTAAGTCATGAAATTTTAGAAATTTTAGAAGGGAGAAATTGGTAACACACGAAAGGAAGAAGAGAAAAGTGAAGGTTGTGCTAGGGCAAGAGATTTTAGAGCTGTGAAAGGTGTTTTTAATTAATAACTTAGCAGGTAAGCTATGTATAACTCTTACCTTCCATTCTACCCAAATTTCTCTAAATATGAGTTATAGAGAAATTAAATTGGTGATATTTTAAGGGTTTGATTCTTACCCAATAGTAATAAAAAGGTTCTTGGGAGTTAAATTAGAGCTTTGTGATTGATTTAGAGCTAAACGATAGAGATTTAAACCTGTAGGCTCAATTTAACCCTAAGTTAGAGAGAAAAAAGGGTGAAAATCATATTTAAGTGTAATGAGACTAGTTGAAGTGATGTAAAGTAGTAATCGAGTAGTAATAAACCTAAATTGGATAAATGAAAAAGAATATACAGCTAGATATAGCCATAAGTAGTAAATATATACTTTTGGTCAAATTAGACCAATTGACTAAATTATACCAATTGTGCTTAGATTTGCATATCGAGCATGTAAGTTGAGAAAGGAAGCTTGTGATGAGCTATAGTGGTAGTTGAAATTCATTGGTAACCTTTCTAGTGATAGAAGGGTTGAGGTAACCGAATAACTTTATTTATTTGACTATTTGTTATAACTGTGTGTGAGAATGCTATGTAGTGCATGAAATGGTTTTCAACTAAGTGTGATTTATGGCATTTTGTAAAGGTTACATGAAATAACTTTTGATCGAATAAAAGTATTGAAATATGTGATTTCATATGGTATGTAAATATATAAATACATATTTGGTATGTATGAGAAAACATGAAAAGTAGTGAATTGGGAACTTATTAATGGTTTGGAAAGCTTGATCATAGGGGTGGAAGTTTACCTGAGTGGAGAGGTGGTGATAAGACCATATAGCATATTCTCTTTAGTGCTCGATGAGGTGTAATGTTAGAGAATTATACCTCCTTAGTGCCTTTTAAGGTGTGGTATTAGAGATGATCTCTTTAGTGCCTATTGAGGTGCACTGTTAGAGATTTTAGACTCCTTAGTGTCTGTGTGATGTGGTGTTAAAGTCAACGACACCCATTGTGTGTATTGGGGGAAACTATACTCCAGAAGTGAGATAAAAAGAAACATTCTCACTCCACTAATCATAATTAACCAATATAACTCCTGGTAATCCGAGACTTAACTCGAAAGGATGATTACCAAGGTTTAATTTAAAAACAAGTTATCCTAAGTTGTCTCAATAAATGAGTTTATATCAATCAAAATCTTTCATATCCAAGTAAAAATAAGTTACAGAAGCATGGGATATCTTAGAGGAGTGAAAGAAGTCGAAAACAGTTGAAAAACAAAACATGTGCTGTGATACGGGGTAATACGCTACAGCTCATGCATGCTGTGCCGTGGTGTGTTGCTCTCTGTGCTGCGTGCCACAGCTCAGGGGCCATGCACCATGGTGTGTTACATAAAATTTTTGCTAATTTTGCTATCATTTGACAGCAGAATTGAGGAACTTCCAACTCGCCTCGATTCTCCATCCGACATCCGAATGACTTGATCTAGGTGTCTATGAAAAGTTATTTACAAGAACTAGCTAATGGCATGGGTTTCACTTCTAAAACAAGTCACACTAGGAAGTTGGACACCCAAACATGTTTTAACCACTTTTCAAACACTGTTACACAAAATGGGTGTTCAAAACCCTCAACAAGTGCCAAACGCTTTTTTGAACACCTGAACCATGTCCAATAGGCCTAGGACTACCAGTACAATATGACACAAGTACTGAAACATAATTATAACAAAAATTCACTCATCAACCCCATATTACTAAAAATGAAGGGGGAGGTAAATTGTCATTGCATCGTGCCTAAATCATTCAAAACATATTCAAATTATTATTTTTACACTTGCACTAGTATTTTGACCCTATAAACATATATATATATATATATATATCAACATACATAAAGACTAAAAGCCTAAAATACAAATCTAACATTTCCAATAACAAAATAGTACAAGTGTGATGGCATGCATCCTAAAATGGGCAATTCATATACTATTACACAATTAAATCTACTCTAAAAGCATACAGTAGGAATATGCTAATTTCCCGTCTCTTTAGCCTTCTCCCTCTCAACACCAGAGCTAGAGCCTATAAAATGTTAGATGAAAAGAGTGAGTCTAGCCACTCAGTAACCAAAGATAAACCTACCCTATACAGTTATATATCAATTATAAATCAAATACATGTACAAGGAAATCAAGTATGTAAAACATGCTGGCATATAACATAACTTGTGGATTATCATTAAATAACATCTTTAACTCTTATAGCTAGGTGCATTGTCACCATATTCTCATATATGTGACATGACCCATACTCATGCGACTTGCCAATACTTAACATGTGTGACACGTCATACATTTACTTAGGCAATGATCAACCAACCTTACATCCTCCTTATTTTTTCAGACTAAAATTATGGAATATAACACTGATTAGGGCTCTATCCGTGTGACTGGACTACCCAAACTCACTAATTGTAAGGTGTGTGACCCGGCCAAAGATCACAAGACTCACTCTCGAACCACAGCTTCTCCCATTCTCAAATCCCTGGGGTGTCTCATACCCTAGGTTATTCTCCTTATTGAACTGATAGAGATAACTAGGTTTCAGTCCCTCGACAAACTATGGGATAATCCCTTAACAAATAGTAGGATAAGGCTATGGCCCCCGTGCACTGGGGGGCAGCCTAAATACCATATGAATTTTTTTTACTCTTAATCTCTAGGTGAACTCCTGCCATTGATCATGCCATAATCAATTACTTACTTATTTTCACTTTTTTGCTTCCATATACTCATTATTACAACAACCACATTGGGCTCACGACCATGTGCTATCTAAGTGTGTATTCTCATCATCTTCTCAACATTGTTCTCATTGATTTCAAAATCCACTTCTCAAAAATTCACTTTTCATTAACACACAAATATCTCTACTCATCATCACATTCATTTTTCAAAAACATAAGCATGTTCATAGTTAAAAATCCTCTTGACTTTGCATTTTGCATTTCAAGCAAACATAGCATTATTCAATTAAATTTTCATACACTTATTGAAACTAATATAGTTTTACATAAAAATCAATTCCATGCATGTAACATTCACAATTCACATTCAATAATCAATTAACATATAACTACACAAAGTAGAGCTTTTCCGATTACCTTAAACCATTGAGAGGTCAAAGGTTTACCCCTCAATCAACTAGCTTCCAATCTTGAATTTTTAATCCAATAGATGACCAATAGCCAAAGCTACAATCAACCAAGTTGAATTCCATCAACATAACCAACTCAACATTTAAACCCTCAATCTCCACTTCTAAATTGCTCAACATTCACTCTACAAGAGTTGGAACCCATCCATTGGGTTTAATAATTATCTTTAGCCTCCAATAGCATTAATGGCATCACAAACTTTCAACTACCTACAATAAATGGGATTTTTGGATATTAAAGGTGTCCAACAATCCAGTTTACCAAAACTCATTTTACCTAGGTTTAGATACTCTAATCTACTTCCATTAACTCCATTTGAGTCAATAGATTTAGACCCATAACTTATATAGATCAAAATTACCATTCTCATTTAAACCTTAACCATAAACTCATAAATGTGAAAGAAATGGAGAGATTAATGAGTGTGTTCCTTACCTTGGGTGTTTGTAGCCTTCAAAATACTCCCAAAGTTGTCCACAAGTAAACCTTAACAGAGCTTTGGCGTGTCTCTTCATTCTTTCTTTTCTCTTCTTTCTATTTTTGTTTCATTTTGTGTTTAATAAACTGTAGAAAATGGCCATACCTAATTATGTCTATGCGCCATGGCACAGAGAGGTCCTCCCTCACTCAAAAATGTCTGTGCACCATGGTGGACGATCTCCACACCTCAGCGTGTGGCACAGCAACTTCAACTCTTTCTTTTCGTCTCCTTTTAATACCCGGGTGGCCCGCCTCGATACCGAACCTACAATTAGGGCTGAAATACTATCAAATATAATTATTAGAACTCCCTGGCCACACACTACTTCAACTTACTTAATTACCCTAATTAGGTTTAATTAATCGAGGAATTAAAACTCATAATGTTACATAGAACACCTTTGGCCGAGTGATTCTACCACTAAAAGTGAGCTCAAGGCCAATGAGATTGTGCATTAGTCTAAGGCGAGCCTATAGTTTTGAGTTGGGGTGATTTGGAGGTTCGGACGGTAGAGATCATGCTTATGTTAGAAAAGTAATGAAAAGCAATGAAAGTGGTGATATATGCTATATTAATGAGATTTGAATGAAAGATATGATATGTGTTATGTTAAATGATATATTGTGTTTTACTTTCATATAGTTGCATGTGATAGTCAATAGGAGTAAATTATTCTGTCACTGAGATTTTTATCTCACCCCTCGTGGTTAAATTTTTACAGGGCAAAGTAGTGATTAGGGCAAGGGTAAAGAGTCTGAACTGGCACAATGGTGCCATGGTCATATGGAAGCTTTGAATTTGTATAATAAACTAATTTAGCATAAATTTTTTGTATATGAGTTGCCATAGGGTTGTTGAATGCTTTGAATGTTTTGAAATGGGTTTTTAGTTGAAAATGTAGAGATTTATGGTGAATCTTAGCCCATGTGTGAAATTATAATGAAATGAGTAATTTGGAGCTAAGATTGAGTAGTAAATATGATATGTGTGGATATGTGATAAGAAAAGGGCTAAGTAGGCCAAGTTGTGCTAAATTGTAACAAATTGTGAAAAGTTGAGAAATGTGAAAATTGGCCATTGAGGGGTCAAACTTCAGTATATGTGTATATATGTGATGAAATGTGGTTAATAAAATGTAATAGGTCCTTTTAGACTTAATTCAAGGCCTTATGTGGTCTAATAAGAGAAAAGGATTGATTTGAGCGCTTGGATGGGCACAATTTTAAAAAAATAACTTTTTGCACCCAGGTGTCCAAATTTCAATTGAATTGTTAGATCAAGTCCAAACCTATCTTATTAGATGGCTTATGAGATAAGATTCGTGGGGGCACTTGAATCATTCCGATCGGATCTTGTATATGAAAATGGCGTATATTGGAAGTTTATCATTTTTGCTATCAAATGACAGCAAAAAATTCAGACTAGCACGCCACGGAGCATGATGTCACATGCCGTAGCACATAATACAAAAAGTTGGGCGTGTGGCTTTATGCTACCTACTATGACACACGTACTTCATGCCGTGGCACATGGCCCATTTTTCCTAACTTGATTTTGTGGCATTGCTTCCACTGTGTATTACTCAAATGTGTTATGATTTCAATAGTTTTGCAAAACAAGTCTTTGGCCAAAGCTTTTCAAACAAATTTTTTGATTTTTGATTGGTGTGATTAATGTGGTGATTGTGTTAATCTTCTCCTGTATCAAGCGAATATGGGGAAAGGTCACACTATGTTTGTATCTCCCATCTCATTGCTTATGATAGTGATACTATCATCTATAAAGAATTTTATAAATATTTTCATAATCATTATATTTACTCTTAAATGAGTTGTCATTGAAGAGTTCTCACTTAAACAAAGCATATATAAAGTAATAAAAATCAATCATTATGAAAATTAACATGATTCATATTTAACAAATAAAAAGTCTTCAAACATGACAAAACACAAAGTCTAGAAAAATAGAATATTCAAAGATACATTAAGTTTTTTAAGGCACTTATCTAAAAAGACAATACCTAATTATGTCTTTATATTTTCTTCGCACTCTCATCCCCTTGATGGCTTATTCCATTGAAGATTTCTCAACTATAGCTTTCTTTGCTATATTGCATAAGTCTTTCCCTAAATTGTTTGAAAATTTTTCCCACAACCAAGGCTTCTTTTTCTTTGGTTATGAAGCTTGAATATTATCTTACAATCAAGAAAATGTGATTTAGCTTTTTATTATTTTAGCATTTCTCTTAGCTATATTTTTTTTATAACTGAGGTTGTGAAGGGTTGTTCCACAGCTTCATCTTTTTTGGAAGACCCTTTGTACCCTCAGATTCACATTTTGATTCCAACATTATGTGCACCTCTTTGGATTCTTCTAAAACATCTTGGAGATCATCATTAGGATCCACTTCAAGATTAGAATCCTCGCTTTGAGGTTCATACTCCTCCTAATCCCGAAATCTTTACTAAGAGGCTCATAATCTGACTTATTCAGATATTCAACACTCACATAATAATTTCTTGAGTTATCAATGTTGCAAGAAGCCTCTAGCTTCATATTTCCTAAAATTAAAAAATTAGTTGTTTTTAAAGTTATTAAACTTATAAAATACACTAAATAGCTCAAAAATAAATTCTAATTATGCATCAAATATAGGAAAATAGCATATCAAAATGAAAATCTCAAATTTATAGATTTTATTAGATGAAGCACGTCTCAATTAGAGGTCCCACACACCCACACATGCCCTGAAAAGGTCACCAGACAAGAAAATTATGGAAAAATTGAAAAAACCAAACAAAAATGACTCTCGAGAAGGCACATGTAAACCACATGCAAGCCACATGCCACCTTGCAGTTGTCTATTGATGACATGCATTGGCCCATTATGCTCCACTCATTGTCCTCTTTCAGGTGGGGTCCTCCATATGTTGGGCCCCACTCACCACATGTGCCTTTTATTAATTAAAATTTTTTAATAATAATTAAATTCAAATTTTTTAAATTAATTCTAACTAAGTCAAGTTATCCATACCCAACTCAAGGACCCAACCCTATGGACCTTTTTTTTAATTAAGATTTTTGGGCTATTAGGCTCGCAGCCCAAAATCCTTTCTTCCTTTTTTTTTTTAAATTAGATATGGGCTTGGCAGCCCAATAGCAATATTTAAATAATTTTTTTCTCAAGTTGGGGGTTGAAATGATATTTTGCATTGTCTTCAACTTCCCACCTAGTCTATTTGACTTAATTCCTCTAACAGGTCAAGTTCATAGGACTTGAAACTTTCAGAGGTTGTATCTCCTTCGTTCAACCTCTATTTTGTGTGTTCGTAGTGTCAGTTTCTTCTTTTTATTTTTTTTTGAACTCTACAAGTTTATTCCATCAATTTTTCAAAAAAAAAAACTTATTTTCAAACACCAAATTTTTTGTTTTGCTATGATTCGAAGTTTCAGCACTATTATTCTCACACATAGTTTATGCATTACATGTATAGCCTCATACAACATATGTACGATACTAAGAAAATGATATGACATATTCATATGACACAAAACAAGAATAAAAATGCACAGAGCCAAGACAACATATTCAATGTAAAAGAAAAAACGAGAGCATACGATTTGCACGTATATATGGAGCAAGCAAATCACTATTTCTTCTCAAATACAATAAAAGCAACCCAGGAATAGCACATCTTTGATACCAGTGTAAATTTCTGGAAGAGGAAGACATACCTATAGTGTGGTGCCAGATGGAATACTAAATGTAGGAACATAATCACGAGTACGAACTTAATTCAGGCTCACAGCAAATACACTGAAAGAAAGGGAAGAGACAAAACACAGAGAGAGGGAAGGTCGTCTGTGTTGTCAGACTAGAGGAAATGGACCAATGCTTCCCACATAGCATTCAACCTCCATGCACTCACTTCACATTTCGAACATGCTTGAGCAATCGCAAAACCGTTTCCACCAAAACTACAAATTGAAACGGGAATACTTGCATGTAAAGGCCAAGAGAATATTGCACTTATTGACCCAAACTCCTCCTTATTTTCATATAGCCCTATGAGCTTATATTGGGCCTAATCTATCGAAGTGGATTACCCAACAAATATATATTATGGTTAAGCTAACTTTTTTTAAAATCTAACTATTAGTTATTTTTTACTACTTAATCCTTGTTTTTAAATCTCTCCATTAATTTCTTTCTTCTTTTATTTTATAATTTTTTGGATATGTTACATTTCTTTGCTGTAGGTTTCTGCTGCCCTTATGCAACACTACCACTTCGAGTAAGTCTTCTTTTTGTCATTGCTCTGGCTGTATTTTTTGCTTTTGGTTTGTCTTACTGCACGCCATGAGACTGCTCTACATGTTGGTTGAGCTCCGGGTTTTCGGTTTGTCTTTTTTTTTACTAGGGCCAAAGCTCTATCCTTTAAACCCACTAATCCTGAAGGTTCTTTATTTGATTCTCTTCCCGCATTCGAGTGTGGAGGTGCTTGCTTACCATTTTCCCTTGTCTCAGCCAGATGAATGCTTCTTTGATCGAAGGGTCTAGGAGCTTCTTTCTTTGGGTATGGCCAAATTTTGGCCAAGGAACGACTCCAAGGGCTGCTGGGCTATGTGGGTGGAGTAGCACTTTCGACCCCATTTTACTTGGGATTGGAGCCAACTAGGTCCTCTGGACTTGATTGACCTGATTTACGTGTTTGCATTATTGCACATGGCGACCCCTTACTGCTGCAAACCCTTCTGCAATTTTGGCATGCGAAAAAAATTTCTTAGAAGCTTGTTTGTGACGTGAAGAGCTTCAAATTCTTTGCTTTTATGTACTGATCTTGCGACAAAATTGACGTAATGCTTGCTTAGTTGTATATAAAATTATTGTGAATTTCCTTGTGATATTTTGATTTATCAAAGTTAGGAAATTATAAGTATTACTGCGAAAACTTTGAGTAACCTTAGAGTTGATAGTTGACTAATCTCAAGTATGTGTAAGATACTATTTAGGATTAAATTATATATATATATATAGAGGATTAAATGGCAATTTGGACCAATAAATCCAATAGCGATTTAAACCCTAAATTTGTTTTCTATATATTCTGATCTTTAAACAATTATACCCAAGGCAAGCTCCCCCCTTTAATTTAGAAACCGTTGACCGTAACATTAGAGGAGAGGTAATTTGTTTTGACTGTCCATCTCTCTCTCTCTCATCACCCCTTCCTCTCACTTCAACATTATTTGTCACTGGCTGCTCCCGTGTCTCCTCATCCATGAACCTGTTAACCGCTTCCTTCCATCAATGTGTGCTAGTCTCTCGAATCCATTTTCTTCACTTAGCTTCTTAATTTATGGTATTTATTTATTCGTATTCAATATCACAACACATGTGATGTCTATCTTCTTCACCGGTTCTTCATCTTTCTGTCAACAGTTTAAATGCTTTCGAGCTTTTAACTTCAATAGCCATGTAGAATAAGATGCTCGCCAATAATATGAAAGCGTGGAGAGGGAAGTTAGCGATGAAAACTGGGGTGAGGAGTCTGTAGAACTCGGATCAAAGTAGCGTGTCTGATTGATAACCACGCACGTCAGCCAAGGGTTAAGAAAAAACCCATGCCACCTATCTGCACATTAAGGTCCTATTGCATAAAGCAACGAACGTTTAAACCAAATTAACGATAGGGAGAGCTTGCCCCAAAAACAATTGTTCTAGAGTCAAAATGTACGAGTTTAATTAGAGTTTAAATAGCTTCTAGACCTGTAGTTTCTAATTCTAATTAGCAAAATAAAAACAACAGTTGTTAATACCTAAACTGAAATTGTTAATATGAAAGTTAGTTATTAATATAAGTAGTTATTAGTTTAGTTATGCAATAACAAAATATGTTCCTATATTAACAACTTCAACTTAATAATTAACGACTTCAATTTAAATATTAACAATATAGTTCGTCATAACCTCAATTTAGTCATGCAATAACAACTATAATAACAACTATATTTTCTATATTAACAATTTTAATTTAAGTTTTCACAATCATGCTTTCTATTATTTTATAGAAGATCATAGATGTAATTTTGCCAAAATATTATGATAAATAAGTCCCTAAAGATGCTTCAAAGTGATTATCTTATTTTGCGATACTATTTTGACATTTGTCTATTTTAAAGGGATTTATTTTTCATTCCTTTTTACATATCTTTTATAAAGAACCAAGTTTTGGTTTAGATAAGCATGTGAGTTATGAAAACCATTGGTGAGACCCAATAAGCAACCTTTGCCACCGGCCACCTTCTATCATCGGAGCATGAAGCAGTGCCCCCAGCACTAGCATTACTAGCTGCAAATTTTCATTAATATTTTTAAATACAATGCATATAGATAACTAAAATTTAATAAACTCAAATGATTTTAAAAGTTATAATTTTTTAAGGATTATAAATTAATATATTATGATGACATTCAGTACCAAGTCTTGAAAAAGATTACAATTTTAAAATACTTCCATAACTTTTTGTTTTGAATTTTGGTTGTTATTTATGAGATCCAGTATTTGAAAACTTGATTGTAATTATGACCGTTCAAAATAATTATAATTGTCAACATGTTCAATCTAAACTTAAAATTATAATTGTTCTAAGGTCAAATTTGAGTTATTTTTCCCTGAAAGAAAGAAAGTAATTGGCATCGGGAGATGGGCAAAATTATAAGAATTGAAATCCTCTAAAATTAAAAATTGTGAATTTTCAAGAAGTTTATTTTTTTAAAGAAAGAGAGGAAATATTTTATATTTTATAAAAATTAATAAAATGATAAAAGTACTAAAATAGGAAATCTTCACAGAAATTCATAGATCTTAACTTCAGATAATTTAAATCTAAATTATACTATATAAGAATATAAAAAATATATAATATGTGAAATTATCAAACTAAATTATATTATTTTTAATTTGTTACTTAATATCTTTTATCTAAAAAAGGCATCCTATTTGAAAAGCCCATATATTAAAAAAATATAAAATATTTTTAATGTTTCAAAATGTAATCATTATATTTTTTTTTAAATGCCTCTAATGTATAATCACTTTATATTTATTTAAAATTAAAATACCATATTAAATAAAAATAAATACAAAAAAATTGTTAATTTAAAAATAAATAAGTACTTTATTAAAAAGTAAGATTCAGCTTTCAACAGAGGAAGTATATCCCAAACCTAAAATATTATATAACGTAGGTTATGGTTTGGTTTGTTCTTGTCCTCTCTTTGTTGTACCGTTTTTCCTTTTCAGATTTTAGTCTGACGTTGTATTGTTTTTACCCATCTTGGCATGAGAATCCATATTCCCCTTTTGCCCCCCCCCCCCCCAAAAAAAAAATAGCATCAATAAGCATTATTTTACTAGTTGAGGTGATAATAAATAATAAAGTAAATTCCTTATTCTTAAAAAAATTAAAGGATAAATAAGTGAATTAACTCTCTAAACTATAAATTTAAAAGCATCTAGAAATTTATATACTCATTTTTTGTGTAATACTTTTCTTCAACTTTTAAAAACAATATAATTTGATCCCTGACATTAATAAAAGTTAACTTTACCAGTTAATTGATTAAAAAATTTAAAAAAAAAAGACCTTCAAAATTATGAGAAAGGACTAAGAAAATTTTTCTAGTCATTTGCTATAATTTTCTTGATCCTTGTGTGTAATTTTTTGAATCTTTTATTGTAATTTTTGAATTATTTTTGTAATTTTTTACCTTTTTTATTTTTTTTGGTCAACTAATAATTAAAATTAATTTTTATTAACGAAAAAAAATTAAATTACACCATTTTTAAAAATTTAAAATAAAATATTATATAAAAATAAATTTATAATCTCAAACATTTTTAAATCTATACAGTTTAAGGTCAAAATTAAATTGTTTAGATGTGATTTTATTGATCTTGACTTTCGAAGAAAATGAGCGCGCCCGCTAGCCGCAAAAATTAGACAAAGCGATGTTATTCTACATTTTAAAAAAAAAAAAGTACGAGCTTAAATTTAATTTTTCAGAATGTAAGAATAATTTTTTTAGAAAAATGTTATGCTTTTGGTTGATGTTGTTTACTCAATTTTTAATATTGCCCTTATATTTTAAAAGTTTGCGTTTAAGTCCTGTGATTTTAAATAGTTTGATATCATTAATGCCTTTATAGACATCTTATCAGCTTAATATCTCTTTTGTCAGAATAAATCATACACATACATATGTATATACACGCACATATATTTTGGAGTATTAAGATAAATTAGTTTGTTAGTTATATATTAAAAAAAAGAATAAATTACTGTCAAAATTTTAATTTTAATAACAGGGACTCAACTAAAATTTTGTAAATATTGTCAAAATATGATTTCTTTCAAACAAATATGTACCGCAATCGCATGTTCAAATATTAATTTATAAGATTGATAAAATAAGAGTCATTAGTTATTATTATATTTAATTAATAATAAATTTACTCAAGTCAGACTAATTACCAGTAGAAGGTGCAGGGGTGGTGGAACCATTTTTTGCAGCCAGTTTTCCCAAATATTCAAAATCTTTAGCTTCCTTAGAAGTAGGAGCCAAATGCAAAATATCTGGAAAATTCAAAACTCAATATCATTGATATAATAAATTATAAAATTTATAAATAGCTATAAATAATGTTCACATTCATGATATAGAGGACCATCTCCAATTTCATTCTATTCATAAAAAATTGTCACTAAATTGATTCCTTCTCGTAACTTTTATTTTTAAAATATACACAAACCTCTTTTAAAAGAGATTAATAAGTTACATTAACCGATCATGTATTCTTTTTATTGTGTACTACAGGTGTCACAGGTAACCTCCTATTAAATATAAGTATATATATTTGAGACATAGACAAGTACCCTTTTCTAGGAGGGCGTTAAACATATAATGCAATTTGTTGATATTACAAAAGCTTTTTCTATATTTTATTTCAAATGTACCAATATCCATTAGAAATAGAAAAAATTTAAAAAGAAATTCAATTATGTTTAACTTCAGAAAAGTTGGAGGATATATATGTGTGTGTGTGTGTGTGTGTGTATATATAAATGGTTAGATTTTTATTTTATGAAATTTTTGTATCAGTTTTGAAAATAAAACGGGGGTTTAAGTAGTTTAGCAAAACTTAAAATCAACCAATTATAGTTTACTATTTTTCAGAAACATGTTTAATTTTAAAAAATAAAAAAAGCGGTTTCAATAAAACTTAGAAAATTTATGCAATTTTATTTATTTTATATAAATTTCAAATCTACTTATAAAAATATATTAATAAAAAAATAATAATTAAAAATTATTTAAAAAAATTTATATCAATCAAAAATTAATTATTATCAAAATTTAAGTTAAAAAATTTAAATAAATTGTTATTAATTTAAAATAATTTATTATTAAAAATTAAATAAATATTTATTGGTAGAACGCCACGCAACAAAATCATATAAATAGGCAACTTATGTCACATCAACATTCAACCTTTAAACGTACGATTCCTACAAAAACAAATAATCAAACCATGAAAAATAATAAATTAAGAAATTATTTTTCTTTTTTGACCTGACAAGTCAAGAAATTTTGGAGCTATCTAGAGACACAATTATCGAAAGGTCCGTGTACTGTAACTTATCACCCCCCCCCACATTCTCTCTCATCAATTTTTTTTTTTATTTCTAAGATACAAAATTAATCATCAAAGCTTTATAATCAAGTTATTCTAAAGACACATGAATATCTAAGCAGATCGAATTATGATTTGCAGGTTAGAACAGAAAAAAAGAATACAAATAATGATATATTTTGTCCCACTCAAGTAGTCCTAAAGGCCCCCACAGCCAAGTGAAAAAGAAGGAAATCAACAGCATATCTGCCCTTCAACTTGTAAATTAAATATCTTCCCTTCAACTTGTAAAAGCCCTAGTTTAAGATTCATGAACCAATTTAATCGGTTCATATAAACTTAAAATATTGAGAGGGTTAGGACCTGTTTGATTGTATTTCCATTTTTTTAGAAATTATTTTATAATACATTTTTAAAATTATTTTCAAAATAAAAAAAATATGTTTGATTTTGTTAATTTAAAAGCAGTTATAGAATTGAAAAAATCAATCCAGGGTAATAGTCACTGATATTAATGGTTGTAGCTTATAATAATGATCAGTCAATATGGCTGTAATTTTTAGTAATCAAATTTAATATATTTTAAAAATAAAAAAAACGAAAACAGTTTTTAGGATATTTTTGTTTTTAAAAATAAAAAAAATAGAACAAACAGAATTGTATGGAATAATCTAAGAATATTAATTTTCTCTAAAATATTTTGAACCGATCGAATCAAAGTTAATTAGATTTAGTCTGGTTTTCATAACATTAATAGAATTAAGTACTCACTGATACAATCGGTGATGTTAGTTGGGGCATGACAAATAGAAGGAAGCTTCACAGCTAGAGTAGCATTGATCTTGATGCCAAGGTTGGGATCATCACGATCTTTGAGTAGAATACAGATACACTTATTGCTCCTCTCAACCACGTCTTTGAAGCCATTACAACAATCTAGGGTTGGAGCTTTGGCTTCGCCATTAACATAGGAAAGACAACTTGTTAAAGAAACAAGTTTATCCGTACATTCTGCTCTGTCTTGTGCTAAATCCGAGCCTCCAAAACCAGCCAGAAGAACAAGAACGAGAAGGCACAGTACTAACCCTAGATCTATTGTTGTTGTTGTTCTTGAGCTTTTACAAAAAGCCATGGGAATGATGATGATGATGGAGGAGGAGGAGGAGGAGGAGGAAGAGGAGGAGATGAAAGAAGAAAAGTTGGATGGTTTGACGGTTGTGACTTGTGAGGTGTGTGAGAGACTTTATTTATTGATGAATCGATCGGTACTGAAGATTTTTTCTTAAAGGACATAGAAAAGTCAAGGGGAGGAGCTAGGGCATAGGGTGTTACTGGTTAGGTGGAGCCCAAAACATTAAATTAGTAGGATTCGATGCCACTGGCTATCAATTAGCCATACAATGACATTTAATCAAACGTCTATCTTATAATATGTCCATACTAATTGGTAATTGAATAAATTAGCTTTTGGGATTGGCCCCTTTTTTCCATAAAAAAATTGATAATTTTTAAATTTAATTAAAAACCTTTAAATCAACTGACAGAAATTAATTCAATTAATAAATATTTAATCTACCACGTAAAATGTTATTAGATCAAATCTTACTGTCAATATAATAATCTTATTAATAGATAATTTATAAGTATTTTTATAAATATTTTTTTAATTTAGAGGCATGTTATAAATCACTTATAGCATATTTAACAAAAATAGCAGAAAATTTTAATTTCATTAATTCTATCTAAAAGTTTAATATGTTTCAAATTTTACCTCTATTAAATCTATATACTTTAAAAATAAAATATTCTAACATTTAATAAAAATAAAAGAGTAAATATTAACAAAATAATTATTAAAATACCCTATAAATCAAGTAAAACAAATACTTTCTCTACCTATCATATAAATAGAATCATAGAAGTATGTTAAGAAAGGATTTTTTTTTTTTGTTTCATATTATAAGCATTTTTAAACATTTAAAGTGATATTCAAACATTTTGGTTTTGGAAGATTATAGATATATACTTGATTGATTTTTTTAGATGGAAATTAAAAATTGAATAATAATATAATGTCATTTCATAAGAGCTGAATTGGCTCATTTCCTAACTGTAATATGTTGATGCAGTAAATTAAATGTATGATTATCATTGAGATTTTTAATTTTTCATTTAATTTAAAATTTTAAAATTCAATATTAATTAATTGTTATAATTATTAGATATTCATAATTTTTTGGCCAAAATTAAATATTCATAATTGAGTCTATGCAAGGAGGGGTCTACTCCAAGGTATTGAAAATCAGACCAGTTATTAAATGAACTGAGATTAAGAGTCAGGGATCAGGGATTCAATTGAGTTTGAACTAAGAGTCAAACTAAAGTCATAATAAAATAAAATAATTTAAATAAAAGCACACTAATCCTTAAACTATTCTTCCTTTGTAATTATAAATAATAAGACATAATAAATAATACAATATAAATATTTCTTTGTCATAAGGTTCAACTTCAAAATTAAAAAAAAAAAAGGCATCTGGTTGAAGTAAACAAAACCAGAGTAGGTGAAGGGCACCCATGTTAATCAGCATTACAAGCAACCTATAAACATTCACTCTTCAGTTTCACTCCTTTTACTCAATAAGTAACCACTCTCCCTCCAATGTTTTTGACTTCCTCCTCTTATCCAAGAGGTAACCAGTCTTAGTGCATGTTTGGATTAACTTTGAACTTTAGTTAGAATCAGCCAAACTGAAGTTAGGATATAAAATGCTCATTTTATGTTGTTTGGATTAGGAAAAAATCTCAACCTCAGTTAGCCATAAATGAGCATTTTTTTGGAAGCCAACAGACCTGGCTTTTAGCATCAACGTCAATGTTAGAAGTCGTTGCAAGCATTTAATGATGTTTAAATTTTTATACTTTCTCTCTCCTCCTATGTATCTAACACGAGCTGTCTATTTTTTTTATGTTGCTATGCATGCTATTTTTCTTCCTCTCGTGACCTCCCAACCTATAACTCCAGATCTGCTTCACCCTCCTCTGCTTCACCTCTCGAGCTCTACACATCCGGCACCTAACCTCAGTCGATCTCCACCTCAATTGAAGCACTAAGATCTCCACATTCAAGCACCAAGATCTTCACCTTTCAATCTTGCATCCAGCATTCCCTGCTCGGTAGTGGTTTCTCCCTGTCGCCTCTCAATCTCCACTGTGTCTACCAGATCTGAGGTTACCATCATTGAATCTACTCCCGTTGACTGTCCTTGGCAAATAAAGTTCTTCCTTTCATCTCATTCCTTGCCTTCCTTACTGTCAGTGCTTTGTTCCTTTATCTTTTGACTTTTTTTCTTCTTCTTCGTCGTCTGATGCTTTTCTTTGCATTCTTGGTGGAGGATTTTTTTTTGCTTTTCATTCCTTTAGCCTGTGTTGCTCCTCTTTTCATTTAGTTTAGTCTTTTTCATTCCTGTAGCCTACTTTACTCCTCTGTTCGTTTAGTTCAGTCTTTTTCATGGCTGTATGTCTGCTTTACTCCTCTATTTTTTTGAATCAGTGTCCTTTTTTTTGTGGTCTTTTTTAGTTCAGTTTATGATCTGAACTTCATCTTTAGCCATACAGTTTAGATCTTTCAAGGTTTCTCTTCAGCTATTTTTCCTTGGAATGCCTCCTTTCTCATTTTCTTTTTCTTCAAGAATCTCAGTTGAGTGTGTTCAGAATGTGTGAAAGTCGTAGTCATTGCATGAAGTTGATTTTCACATGTTGATCTGTTGTTCAAGTTTAGTGTTGGGGTGCTTCTAATTGGCTATGATTTTTTTTCCCTTCCTTATTGGCTGCTCATGGCTGTGGGAAATTAGCTACCCTTGTTTTATCAATTGCTAGTGCTATTGCCGTGGGGTAATGTGCTTTATATACATTCAAATATGAATATATATATATATATATATATAATCCATTTAAGATATAGCAACAAAAATTCAGGCATATAGTAGTTTATAATGAACATCTTGTGCTATTTATAATGCGTTTCCTTCCTTGTTTTAAAAATGAATAAATGCAAATATTATGCATTTTTGGAACTCGAGTTTTTGAATTTGAAAAATGCCAAACTAAAAATTTTGGCATATAGTACTTCCTTCCTTGTTTTAGGATTATTATTTTCATTTAGTTTCACTATGACTCCAGGATATGGTGGTAAATTGATATATATATATATATATATATATGTAGAGATATTTATTAATTTTGCATGTTTATGATGGCTAGCTAGTCTATAGAACAATGAACATTGATAAAGGAAACGTTGTGTGGAATTCAACCTTGACAGAAATTTTCATTAAGAAATATTTAGAGCAAGTGTACAAGAAATAAAGGAAAGGAATTGCTTTCAACAAAAATGGTTGGCAAGCAATAATTGAGGGGTTTGAGCCAAAAATAGGAAAAATGTATGAGCGAAAGTAACTGAAAAATAAACTAGATAACAAGAAGAAAGAATGGAACATATGGTATAAATTATTTTCTAGTGAAACCGGCTTAGGATGGGACAATGCCAAGAACATTGTCGATGCTCCAGATGAGTGGTGGGAGCAAAAATCTTAGTATAGATTAGTTATTAAGTATTTTTTAGACTAGAATTTAACTTGAGAATCTTAATTGTTGATTACTTGAATGCTTGCAAGAGAATCCCCTTTATGAAAAAAATTAGACATAAAGGGTTGAGGTTTGCAAGGAAATTAACCTTCATATTTAAGGATGTCCTAGCAATTGGGAAGACACTGTTTAAGCCATCTGCTACCCAAACCCAAATAGAGGATGATGATGATGTGTACCGCCCAATCGTTGACCTTTAAGAAGGATCCAGTGATAGTGAAGAGGAGTTAAATTTATCTGACACTGTAGCACTTATGAGGGTCACTGATGAGTTGTTAGGCTTGAATGTCACCACAAATACCGGTGGAACCAGTGGTGATGGAAGTCAAGGCAAGAGAAAGAGGGTTGTAGGAGGCGGTGGGAGGAAAAAGCAAAAAGTTCTTGCCTCAATGAAAATAGCAGATGCGATGAGTGAAATAGCTAAGGATAACAGAGTTAGAATAAAGACAATAAATAAGATTTTGGCAAATGACATAGGAGTTTTTGAGGTTGTAGCTCACCTAAATGGACTTCTAGAAGTTTTTAGTGATAAAGATTTGCATTGGAGATGTGTCAATCTTGTCTTGTACAAGCCTATGCGAGATGCTTATTGGCAACTTAAAGACCATCCTAATCACTTGGTCAATTGGTTGAAGCACCAAGTCTACCATCTATCAAATTTTATTTCAAAGAATACATCAAGATGAATTTTTATCTAGGCTTATGATAACTTGACTTGTGTTTATTTTAATTTAAAGAATACTTGTAGTTGCTTTAGGCTGACTTGTACTTTGCTATGCTTATGATGACTTGGTTTGTAGTTAATATTTAACTCTTATCTAATGCTTATCTTATGCTTTATTTTTTATGTTGTTGAATGATATTTATATACTATGTATTTTATATTATATACAAATGATATTTACATACTATTTTACCTCAGGTTGAAAATCATGGAAGATTCAAATGAATATATGTTAGGTTGGAATGAAGGTTGGGATGTAGATATGGCTCATCAACTACTTCCCTTGTTACAACAAGATATAACTGAGCAAGAAGAAATATATCAATTAATTAGTGAATATGTGATGCCATATGTGTGTAAAGAGCCACGAAGAATTGGCAGGCAAATAGGGTAAATGTGGGTCAATGAGATTTTGCAAGATCATCTTGATCGTTGTTATGAAATGTTTCGAATGGAAAAGCATTTGTTTAGGCAACTGTGTGTGACACTAGTTAAGCTTGGTCTAAAGAAATCTAAAAAATGGGAGTTGAAGAAATGGTTAGAATGTTTTTAAATACAGTTGGACATGGAGTTGGTAATAGGATGATACAGGAACAATTTTAGCATTTAGGGGAAACTGTCCATAAAAATTTTCATAAAGTATTAGCTGCCTGCCTTAACCTTTTCAAGGCAAACATAAAACCACTTGATCCTTCATTTCAACGATGTCATTCAAAAATTTAAAATGATCCATGATATTGGCCATTCTTTAAGAATGTTATAGGGGCAATTGATGGCACTCATATGCCATGCATGGTTAGTGTTGCTGATCAAATTAAATTTATTAGAAGAAAGGGATATACAACACAGAATATCATGACTGTATGTGATTGGGACATGTGTTTTACTTTTGTCATTATGAGATGGGAATGTACGGCTTATGCTACCCAAGTATTTGATAATGCCATATCAACTCCTTCAATACATTTTCTGCATCCACCTCCAGGTATATTTTATTAAAGTCACTATAATTATTATTGCATTGAATTAATGTTGGTCAAATTTACAACACTTTCTTTTATTTAATAGGTAAATATTATTTGATTGATTCTTATTATCCAACACTAAATGGGTATCTTAGTCTATATCGTTGCAAATGTTGTTACCTTCCAGACTTCAAGCGAGTTGCAGGATTTGCAAACAATAATGAGATCTTCAATTATTATCATTCAAGTTTGAGATGCACTATAAAAAGAACTTTTGGAGTATGGAAGAATAGGTTTGCAATTATACGAAAAATGTCCAAATTTAAATATAAAATACAAGTTCAATTGTTTGTGCAATAATGGTAATACATAACTTTATTAGGAGAAATTCAATTACTAATGAGCAATTCATACAAACTGAAGATGAAAGTATATATGTCCTTGAGAAAGATATCGATATTGGTGAGGCATCCTCATCAAATTTACCTAGATCATCAAGACAGATGTAGCATGTTCATGATATAATTAGAGATCAACTTGTAAATCATATCAATTAGATATTAATTTATTTTAGGTTTTTGTGATTGAATATTTAATATATTTTACTTATTAGTTGTGATTTTAAATTTAATATTTTTTACTTATTAGTTAGTCAAAAAATGTAATCATGCTTATTTAAGATTTAATATTAAGATAAAAAAATTTATGCTTATTTTTGCTATTAAACATCTCAACTGACTTTTGAATCAAATCATTCAAATGAATTTTAATTTATCTAACCGACTTTAAAAAAAATATTCAAATATAAATCACGTTACATTAACTGATTTTTCTTAACAGAAGCTTGAATTTGGGTAATGAAAGGGTTGAATATATGTGGCAGAGGCTTGAAAAAGGAAAAAGAATAGAAGTTAGAGAGTCGGGGAAGATTAATGACGTGGCAATCGTTTGGAAATAATAACATTTACAAACCTTCAACAATCAATTATTTCATTTAATTAAGGATGTCTAATTATTGATATTAAATTAAAAATATTATGGTACCTTGATTGATTGTATTCACAAACTTGACAAGTTCCTCGAAATTCCCTCTTGAGTAAATAAATAAAATAGTTGCCTATACTGTTTTTTTGTGACACCTTTTTTTACAGACAAGCTAGAAAATAAGGAAGCCACAATATACATAGTCAAATTCACATGACCAAAAATTGAAAGTTGGAAAGGGCCAATATAAAAAACTAGAACAAGATCGAGCCCCAACCTAAAAGTTCATTTTTAAAATACTCACAGTAAGAAAGGGAGATTTTATTGCATTGATGGGCTCGAGAATCACAAATCAATCCAAACAAGTATAGAAGTAATGTTTTAAAAGCTAAATGGGATGTTAAATCAAAAAGGTTAGTGGATCTTAGTTTTTATGATCTAATTAATTAGACCGTTGATAAAATTGGTCATATAATAATTTAATAAAAATTTAATAAAAATAATGTTAATTGCATATAATATACTCCATCTGTTAAAAAATGCAAGGTATTTTCAACCAAATTTTACCTTCAAATAAACTAGTTACCTTTTTTCTAATTAACCATATTTTTTCATATTTATTCCTATTAAATACTCTATAATAAATATAAAGTCATTATCAATATGGGCACTTAAAAAAAAGGTAATGATTATATCTCGAAAGATTAAAAATGTTTTACATTTTTTAACACGCAACTCCTTAAAAAATGTTTTATATTTTTGAACGGAAGGAGTATATATGTATGTATACAAGAAATAAATCTATAGTCTATTTTGTTATTAATAATTAAAAAATACATGATTATAAATAAAAAATATTATAAATTATAATTTTTTGGTAAAATTATACTCTCTCCGTTTAAAAATGTAAGGCATTTTTTGAGAAGTTAGATGTTAAAAAAATATAAAACATTTTTAGTCTTTTGAGGTATAATTATTGCCTTTTTTTAAAAGTGCCCCTATTGATAATGACTTTATATTTATTGTTGGGTGTTTAATAAGAATAAATATAAAAAAATAGGATTAGTTTGAAAGTATATAAATATTTTATTGGGAGTGAGATTCAGTTAAAAATGTCTTATATTTTTGAATAGAGGGAGTAAATTATAATTTTATAATTTATCAAATATAAGTAGATATTGGTTAAATCAGGTATAAGTAGACTCAAAATTAATGATATATATTTGTACTTATAACTGTAAATATTTTCCTAGAAAAATGTTTTCAAATCATATTATGTATATGTAAAGGGTCCAAAAATAAAGTTGATTTTAAAGTGGGGTCCATTTTTTTAAATTTTTTTTTCAATTTTTTGAGATTTTTTAATATTTTATTTAAAATCGTTCAATTTTTTTTTTAGATTGTTCCTATTTTTTATTTAATAATGGCTCAATTTAAGTTTAACTGGGTTAAATTATGAAAATAATTTTTTAATCTAAATCAACTGTAACAATCAATCTAGTTACCGCCTTTGATCGACATTTCAATCAATATGATTCTTATAACAATCATCATAAGCTAATAGTCTAGTTACCCCATAATCAATTATTAGACACAATAAACAATTACATCACGCCCAAGATCATCACAATACAACAATTAATAATTGAAACTAACGCACAATCCAAATTGATATCATCCTTAATAGTACATCATGGAGGACAAGATCAATAATTTCTACACAAATTAATCCAACCAGCATCAACGTTACCGCAGCTATCAAAAAGCCACTCACAAGCATGTGATAATCAAAAGCAAAGAGGTGGACGGTGATGCTTCAACGGTAGTTGGATGCTATTAGGTTCTCACTTCACCTCACTAATTGGTCAGCGAATGAGATCCAGTACTCAAGTCCCTTCCCTCACCCCATATCCCCGCCTGGGATGATGTGTAGCTGAAAGGATTAGGCCATTACCATATGCTAATGAAAAGGGCTCACTGCCCAATCCAAGAGTCAAATCATACTAATAGATGAATTATCATAAATAGCCGTACAATACGGGTGACATCATAAATAATATGTCAAGATGTACTTTCTGTGATCATAATTTTCCAAACTTTTCATCGCATGCTTAAATCGAATGCGTACATAAAATCAACAATATATATTATGATCATGAAGTTCTTCTTTGTAATTTTGTGTATGTGTGTTAAAATAAACCTTATATTGCCTAAGATTGAGAAAGGCTTAATATTTAAATACTAAGATGATCATTCGCGTAAGTGAGATGGGCCAAGAAGAGGAATAAGTGTGCACACACATTGTATGAAAATAAGATGCAGTTTTGGGCTCTTTTACCAAAAATATTTTTCAGTCTTCATAATAAATCATATTTTTTATACCATTTTTATTCCCATTATTCTTACTTTTTTGACACTTGTTTTAAGTATTTTGAAAATTTTAAGCATCATTTAAATTTATTAGACTTAATTTTTAATTTTGAAAACTTTTGGAATAGAAGGATAAATAATGAAAATTTTAAAAAAATTAATTTGGCACATAAAATTAATTTGAGCTATACATAATTGGGCATGTGAATGAGATTTTTTATTGCATTACATGAATAGAAATTGAAGAGAAACTCAAGGGCAAGTTTGCCAATTTCTAATTTCGCACCTTGTTTCTTTTTTTTTTTTTTCTCATTTCCTACTTGCATCATCATACATCATGCATATATAGTCTTATTTTAATTTATAAATTCTCTTCTTTACTACTTTTATTTTTTCAGCATTTAAATAAATTCTTATAAATATGTTATCATACTCATATATTTTTAGGCACACATATACTCACACCACTTTAGCATACTTATACAATAACTCATTTTTTATTATTTTTTTCCTTCACCAAATAGGACTTAGGCAAATTTTGAATTTGTTTCCCAGGAGGATGTCATTTTTTTTGCATCATCATCATCATCATCTTCTTCTTCGTTTTGTTCTATTCACAACGTTGCTCTCTCTCTCTTCATTT